ACGTCCAATTCTATATGTTGCAGCTTGTCTACGTGCCAACTCTATATGTTGCAGCTTGTCTACGTGCCAACTCTATATGTTGCAGCTTGTCTATGTGCCAACTCTATATGTTACAGCTTGTCTTTGTGCCAATTCTATATGTTGCAGCTTGTCTAAGTGTCAATTCTATATGTTTCAGCTTGTTTATGTGCCAACTCTATATGTTGCAGCTTGTCTATGTGTCAATTCTATATGTTGCAGCTTGTTTATGTGCCAACTCTATATGTTGCAGCTTGTTTATGTGCCAACTCTATATGTTGCAGCTTGTCTATGTGTCAATTCTATATGTTGCAGTTTGTCTATGTGCCAACTCTTTTTGTTGCAGCTTGTCTACGTGCCAACTCTATATGTTGCAGCTTGTCTACGTGCTAACTCTATATGTTACAGCTTGTCTACCTGCTAACTCTATATGTTGCAGCTTGTCTATGTGCTAACTCTATATGTTGCAGCTTGGAAATATTAATAGAGGAAAAGAATGAATAAGCAATTATCACTTCTTTTATTAGTTTTGCAAGATGCCATTTTGTCCACCTCATTTTCTGTCTTTTCGTTAATACCAATTTTAGTAAAGTAACGCTGAACTCACACACAATTCTTAATTTATAATCTATAGTAAAGATCTTACCGTTTGCCAAGATTCTCCCATTCGCTTGTAGAACAAGTTCTTCGGCTTTACACTTGGTTTCTCCGTAGTCACCCAGTAGAAATGTTCCGGGCTTGGGAGTAGTGCTCTCAGTACCGTAAAAGATGTGCTCCTTGCCGACTACCACATCTACAGTGCTGGTGAAAATCAGCCTCGAAACGTTGTTCTTGATACACGCATCAATAACTCTCTGCGTACCTAACACAAATTGACACTTAAATTAACCTTTTATATACACAAATGTGTACAACATATATATTTTATATAACGAAACTTGTAAGTTTTTCTTGCTTGCTTATATGATTTTACGGGAAAATTGATCACGAATTAAAAGGTGCAGGTTAGGTTATTTTGGCTGAATTAATGGTCTTCTTTAAATTACTTAACCTAAATACAAATGTCTTCCATTGTAATTCTAAACTTAAATTTAAGTAATGGGTAAAAAAACCACTGTGGATAATGCAGCGATCTTCATACCCCTGTGCTGGTTTTTCTTAGATCCGGTACGCTTGGTATTGCTGGCGCACAAAAATATAGCTAATAAAAAGGCAAAAAAGAAGGGTCTCATAGATAAATTTACTCTAATCCTGTCTAAAAGAAATTGAAGTACCGCGGCTATTGAGGACTCCCTCCTGTTAGACTGTTTTTCAGATGATGAACATTATTAGGAGTTCGATACATTGTCTCCAAACTATCATATATTATGGCTGAACTTCAAATTACTGTAAAAAATAATTTCACCAATTACTAAGCCTCGAGGTCTGGCATGGTCTGGTGGTTACGGCACTCGACTCCGAACATGCTCGCCCTTTTAGTTGCGAGGGCGTTATAATGTGACGGTCAATCTCATTATTTTTCTGTAAAAAGTAGTCCAAGATCTGGTTGTGGGTGGTGTTGACTAACTGCCTTCACTCTAGTCTATCACTTCAAAATTAAAGACGACTAGCGCAAATAGCCCTCGAATAGCTTTGCGCGAAAGTCAACAAACAAATTCTAAGCCTCAAATCAAGTAGCTCGTTTACAACGCTGATAAGAATAAGCTTGTATAGGAATAGTTTATCATGACGTAGGCCTAATTTTCGTAACATTACTAAAAAGCTGTTTAATTATTAAATCTAAAATAAACCTGCTCATAGTGGATTAAAAATTCCAAACCAATTGTAAACCACGTACAACAATTTCGAACTATATCAGCTTTCTTCAGCCCAGCTACATCAACAGTAACAAAATTACTCAAATAAGCGTTATTTTTCGCTATCTTTCGTTATCTGTCATCGATCTAACTGTGGATGATGAAGGCTGACATCCTTATAACCATACTTTATTATATGACCAAACATGTTTAGTATTTCAAATTATGTCACCTCAAAACTCGAGAGCTAAATCTAGCTATAATGTTAATAGCCTCCAAACCTCATTTGCTATGAAATATTACAGATTAAAAACGTGCGTTTTAAACATCTACGTCAGACTTTTTAAAATTATTTTAATAAACAAGTTCAATGGGGCGTTTAAACCCCATTAATGAGAGATAATCTGCTATTCTAATAAAGTGTGGATTTTTTCCAAGCATGCTTATCAGGTACACTAAACCCTTAACTAAATATGTCGATTATTTATCAAACATACTTAAGAAAGTATAAGTACGTGACCATCACTACGTTAAACTTTTTTTTTAATGAAATATTTCTAAAAATGCTATTATACATTAACCTATAAACTATACAACTCGAGCACAGCTTAGAATTAAAGGAGGACAGAAAAGGATAGAAAATACACGCACCTTCAATATTCACAGTGTGCATCTTTGCTTTATCGGGAAAAAGGCCTACACTGATTACTCCTGCTGCGTGAATAACACAGTCCACTCCAACACAGGCATCTTCAATACTTTGGCCATTTAGTATGTCACCCTGAATAACTTTCATTAGTTTGGGTGTTGAGTGGCCTAGATGTTAAAAATATTTATAAAATAATTTCCCAGTGTTAATTACACTCAAAAAGTCATGATTCTGAAGTAGTTTAGTTACGACTGATTTACTTTTAAATGTGTAATACCACGAATAGTTATTATAAACATATAAACGTTTTTTTTTGTTTTTTTTTAGATAAGTAAAGCGTGATTTCGTTATTAGTCAGTTAATGTGTTAATGAAATACATTCTGTACAGCATTAGTAATTTGATTGTAATTTTACACGTTTAATTTGAATCATAAGTTTTTACCACGCAAAGAAATAATTTACCAAACTCTCTCCTTGTTGAAGTACATATATTAGTTTAATAAACTGTACTTAACTTTTCAACTATTAAGATAATCAATGTGGCTCAAGAGCCTGGTTGTATTTTCGTCTAAAAATGCTAATACAGAGGTATGAATACTATATATTAAAACGATTCTGAATATTCAGATCAATCAAGTCACGTGAAAACCACGCCGGTTATAAATTAGCGGTGAAAAGGCGTGGATCACAATTACATTTTGACATTGTTTGGTTTTACACAATTAGCTATTTGTGCTATGCTCACCACAAGTATCGAAACCTGGATTCTAGTGCTGTAAGTCCGCTGTGCCACTGGGGGCGATGCCACCAAAAACTGATGTCTATTGGGAAGGATATGAAACATCCCTTTCCGACAGAAAACATACATACAATTAGATAATAAAAATGTGTTTAGACCGTGGATTAATAATTTTCAAGCTGGAGATATCCTTTGGAATCAAAAGAGTGTGGATCAACTTGGAGCACAAACAGCATTCAGAAAGAAACCTGCAACAAGTTGTACCTCAGCCATGGTAAGCAAAGTGCGGCAGCTTGTAACAGGTGAGAATCCACAAAAAATCGTCCACATGCTTCAGGCAACAGTACAATACATAATCCAGAGGTCTCTGTTTGGAAACGAAACCAACAGGGTGTGAATTCAGCAAGATAAGGCTTCCACTTATACCGCCTTTGCAGCTATCACTGAGAATCAAACAGATATTCATGCTATTCAGTATGAATACATAACGGGCAAGTCGCTGAATACAGTACCTATAGATTAATATATTATTGGACTGTTGAAACTGGCGCTGGAAAACCATCATCCTCATATACTATATGGATTATCAAAAGTTTGAACATAAAGGCCATACGACGGAGTCTTATGCAACAAACAATATGTTGCAGGGCTATCGCCTAGATGCACGGTCATCAGACAAAACATGATTATACGTGGCGACATAGACTGTAATGATGTGGCAATGCTTCAAAATCGTTTAATATAACTTGCTCAGCCTCTGTAGTGTAATAGGCATTTATTTCTCCATTTCTATAACCTTAATTCTAATATATACTAATTAATTAATATTAACTTCTAATCAGAGCAAGCTAAATACGTAATTTAGAATTACAATCTTCCTAGTAATGAACATATATAATTTACTATACTGTTTTTACGTTCTTACTTTTAATGATTAGAATGCATAATATCATCAGCTGGGTACTCTTGCTGTTAGCGGTATTTTTGGCTATAAACCCAATAATATCTCACGAGATTCGACCAGCTCAGGAAATTTAAGTTTGTCTTTAATCGACATACAAGGCTAACAATTCGAAATAAACTATATAACAAAAATACTTAAATATTCTAACCAAGTCCAGTGAACTATATTTAGTGTTTGTGTGTGAAATTCCAAACTACTGTGTGAATAATTTTGATCTTTGAAACTCTAGATTCTTAAATGTAAAATAAATTCTTGATAAAATTTGATAATTTAAATAGTGACTTCAGCACTATATGTTCATAAGATTCTACATTAAACATTCTGTAATATGAATTTATATATAAAAATATTGTGCCGCCATTAAACGAATATTAAAGATGTTCTGATAACGTTAAATCGTTTTCTCGAGGTGCAATTTAAAATGTTGAGAGCCGAGTAAAACTAGCTGTTATCTTAAGATTTGTACGTCCATGGATAATTTATACCACTAAAGGAACTATTACATCTCTGTGTTTTAATAATCCCAAAAATTACTTACCAAGTTTATTCTCGTACGCTTTTGTATCAAACGCACGAATTTCGCCGACTGAATCGTCTTTTTCTTGTAATAACTTGACAATATGTTGCCCCAGAAATCCACTGGCACCTGTAACAAGCACAACTTCTTTTGGGCTATTCATGGCTGGATTATTCTTTCAAAGGTAACACACCTATTTTGCCCTGTAGATAAAATTTAAAATGTAACAACCGTCATTTTTTTTTAAATAGTGCCAGGCGGTTGTTATATTAAACAACTGATTATTACTGCTTCACTCAAAAATGAAATTATAACATGTAATTTTTAGAAACTACATTAAGTGAACCATCAAATATTTTTTAACACTCAGTCTACAAGTCAGTGAGATCAAATTCGGGGGATTGGGTGGGCTACAGAAGATGTCATGGTTTTTAGTATTCAAGTTAGAACTCCCATAAAACGTACACCAATAAAGGGTTCAATCTGCTCACCTTAAAAAACAAACAAACACATTTTACTACCAAGAGTATTCATCTTTCATTAGTGTTTGGCCACGAAGATTCAGAGTTTATGGGGTTGCCAAAACTGTGTTCTTCTTGCACAAAATAGTAGAAGTGTTCATGTTCAGACAAGTACCACACTTAGCCACCTTACAACAGCAAATAAACTTCATTGAGCATTCCCCGGCCACCTCTATTAACAGAATTTGCAAAAACCGTAGAGGAAAAGCTCTATAGAGCTGAAGAACCAGATCTAGTATGTACAACATGTGCAGCCACTACCGTGTTTTGGACAAGATGTTGTAGGGGGATGTAGGTTTCATTCACTCATAGCTTGGAAAATAGTGCGAATTAGGCGATTCAAATTCCAGATACTGCAAGAAATTCAAATCTCTATTCAGATTTTTAAAATAAACAAACGAAAAACAGAATAATGGAGAGGTTTGATTGGTAATCTTTCCTGACTCACAGGCTTGGTGTAAAATCATATTTATCCAAGAAAATAGAACCACACTATAGATAAATCATTTAAAACAATGTGCTTAAAAAGCCTACGGAGTAGGAGTCCATTGGTAATTCTGGGATTGACATGGATATAACAGATAAAGTTTGGTTAACATATTATTGTACACTGTTATTCACTTTCACTCAAAACATTTTACATATACAAAACCAGTCAGGTTAGTATAAAGGGGTCAGCCATATAAAGATGTGATATCAAAAACAGGGACAAGTTATATAAAAGGCAAATCTTGTAATGATGCAATGTAAAAGTAGGTAGGTTAAACAAAAAGAGGAAATATTTACCCCCATTTTTTACCACAATTGGAAGAAGTAGCTATTTGAATATAAAAAGAGCCATGTTTTCCTAAATTTTTTCCTTGTTCCCTCGAAAAAAAGACAACAGATTAGTAACACAAGATTTCCGTTTGGCGAGTCTTTGTTCGTTTTCTGTTATGATTGTGAGCTTAGTTCATCGATAGATGTTTTCATATTGATTTAAATTAACATCACTCCTGTTTCAATTGAGTTAACTGCAATGATTGACTCATTAAAACCCAACGTCATACAAAAGATTTCGCAAGATTTTAATTGGCTAAAACTGAGAAAAATAAACAAGTTGAAATAAAACGAGAAAGTCAAACAACTTATTGCTTTGCATAATGAAAATGAAATGGTGTATTATTCAGATTGAGTGTATGTAATGGCGAATCAAGAACAAATCTGAAGGTGAAGGCAGTTTGCACTGGGCGTGCCACTGTCACTGTGTCATCGTGGTATCGTTCAGCAGAAGAGCGGCTAAATCGGCTTATTCCATGTGTAAACTTACTAACTTACATGAAAGGTTCAACTATAGATATTTTTACTCATTTTGGAATCTGCGTGCTTGTCTGCTTGACCACAATTTAATTTTCCGGTTCCTAATCTTCTTATTTCATAATGACCGTTCCGCCGTTAGTATCATCCCGAGGTCACGGTTCAAAACCTCGCAATAGCTGCACCAGAGGGCGGTCGAGGAACATAGAGACACAAACACTCTCTTTGACAGGCTTTATAATATGATATCGCTTGCCTGGATATCCGATATTTTGCCGTAAAAATCCAGTATAATCGCAACTCAAGTTATTGAAACCTGTATTTTGCGGTTTGATAAACAATAATAAACCTTTCTGTGTGTAGAAAACTCCATTCAAAAAGCTCAATATTTCACATTAGAACATGATTATTAAGCATCAACTTCTATAAAACAAGTACAAACACTAGAGGAATAGTGAGGAGAATAAGATTTACGAAACAAAAAATGAATTCGTGAGACGTTTGTGCGAGGATTATCAATGGGATCCAGACTCAATCAGATTTTTAAACATATTTTTCTAAACTATTTATGTACAAAGTAGCCTGTGGTTCCATGACTTCGTTAGTTATAGTTTTCCTACTAACATATATCACACAATAAAAACGTCCAAAAATATAAAACAGCGCCAATATTTAGGGTTACCAGAAGTAATGAAATAACCCCAGTTTTTAGTGTATTTTTGTCCTTCTCAGAAAGTATAAAAGTATTAAATTGCCCCAGTTTCTTTGTATATCAATTTGAATTTAATATGTAGGATTTGCCTTTATACATGACTCTTTTTAATCTTAATAAGGGAATCAACTGAGAAAGATCACCCGAGGCTGTGTTCCCTTCCTCGTTGCTATATTTTCTTAACGTAATCGTCATTAATTTAGTAGCCGCCCGAATTGGTACTGGGAGAACCCTCTAGGCGCGAAAAAATAAAAAACACGAAAAAGGAATATTTTTCTTCAGTAGGTTCAATACAGCTTATGCACATTATTTATTTTTTAACTGGATACATTTTAACAAATATGGTCTATAGTTTCAAAACGCTATTCAATAAATATTATAATATTTTGCATACGGCAAAAAGTGTGTTATTGTAATTTAAACTGTTTAAAAGCTGTTGCATTGTCACTCCATATAGGAAAAAAAATGTCCCAGTTATGCATTCTACAAGTCTGGTAATCCTACCAATATTGTAGTTAATCTCTTTAATTGTTTCTAGGTTTTCTTACACTAAAAATGATCGTTTCCACCCAGTTTTCTCTATGTCAGTTTTTTTTTTACATAAAATTACTCAATATGTACTGGTAGTGAGTATTATGTTAAGACAGCAGAAGTCACGTGACGTTAGTAACACGTCATATTCTCGAAGGTTCGTGAATGCTCGAGTGTTT